AAATAAATCCTAAGGTGCTGAACTTCAAGGGTGGTTTGTAAATAAACCCAACAACACAATACATAAAAAAAAAATAAAAATAAAAATAAAATTAAAAAAAAAATAAAATTGCGCAAACTGCACAAGATTACTTAGATTACATACAGCTGAAAGAACGACTGGTTCTTCAAAGTCTGGTTGCTGACCCTGAGGCTTCGTGTAAACCCTAACAAGACCCATCTCATCCCACATTCTGGCAAGTAATCTGTCCAGATTCAGCTGTCGAAACATCAATAACAACCAACCTGACATTAGCATGAGGAGAGAGAATATAATGGGTTGAATTCTTATCTATCTTTCCAAAATCAATATTTCATTCTTGTACCTTCAGGTTGCAGCTTATGACGATCGAATTAGGCTGCCGTGCTAACCTGTCAACGTCATCGATACCAATGACATCTATTTTGTTGTAGACATAAACGCACTTTATGTACTTGCGGTTGCCCTCGATTACATCAATGAGGTCATCCACTGTTGCATCTTCACGAAACAAAATCTGCCGAAAGTTGATATCAATTGTTTAAGGGATTAATGAACACAGGGAATTTTTAAAGTCTTAACCAGTCACAAGACATGGATAAAATTGCACAAACGGAGTAAAAGCGAATAAAATCCTATTTTGATCAGAGAATTAAAAAATGGAACAAAGTAATTTCCTAGACCTAGTAATTGATCAAACTAACACTAGAATGTATTCACACCACACACACATGCACACACCCACCCACACACACAGAGAGAGAGAGAGAGGGGAAGAATGTATTCACACCACACACACACACACACACACACACACACCCACACACACACATAGAGAGAGAGAGAGGGGAGAGAGACAGAGAGAGAGAGAGAAGAGAGAGTGAATCAGTTAGAGAATACCTCTGCATTGTGAATCTTGTACTCGTGTAATATCTGATAGCAGAGCTTCTCATCTATATGCGTCAATGGTAATGTGCTATTGAATGAAATTCCCCCAGTTTTTTTCTTTTTAAAGTATATCTGTCATCGAAACCAAAAGACAGTAATGGGACAAGTATGTGTCCATATTCTACGGAAATATGAATTACTACTATGCAAAATGATCCCAGTCCTGTTTTCATTTTCTCAAATTACTCTAATTTCCACTAAAAATGCTTTAATTACACAATGATACTTCTTTATGTAGCCCTATGTATCTACCTGACACTATCCAATGCTTGGAACATTGTATAGTCTCTGAAAATGTTGCAAAAGCATGCTTGGATACAAAATTTCTCAAAAAAATCCAAACATTTTTAACTCAACCACTTTTTTTAACTCAATTTTAATTCAACCACACTATCATCAATATCAATCAATCATTCTTACACACCACATTACCTTAATTCACTATTCATCCACTCAGATAATTTAAACTAACTCTCACTTCAAATCTTCTCTCTCCTACTTTACATCAAATCAACTTTAATCATTTTATTTTAAAAATTATTTTAATATACCCACTAACAACTAACCATACCTACTTTTTCAAAACTAACCAAACCAAACAAAAGATTCAAACAAAACCAAAATTTTTTATATCCAATCATCCTCACATTCCAGGTTACTATCTCTGTACCATGTGACTCAACTTATAGATACAAATACAAACTTAGAAATATGACATAAAAGAAAGGCTACATGAGTTGAGGAGATGCTGCAGTTGTTTCACTCTGCTGAGAACTTTGGAAACACTATAAAAGCCCCAACAAGCATCTCGATGGATAGCTACATCCTATGTTTCTCCTCTTGTGGCGGCAATACATATATGGATTAAAAGCACATATATTATACTAAATGATCAGGACCACGATATTCCAAACATATCATGCTCTAATACACAGTTCTTCTTGCAAGTAATGGTCTTTATTTGAAATTTTAATGAGTTCTTGAGAAGCATATCCAATTCTACACCAAGCTAGTAAGATTATCTTTTTCTGGAAACTCCCCAACAACTAGTCCCAGGCAGTGATGTAATTTCTCACCCAAGTTTTAAAGATTCTAAGAAAAAATATAAAGGGGGAAATACCGTAACAAGAAATGCTTACTTGAGGTGGTCTTTTGTTCAACCGCAAACCAACAGCTTCCAATTCCCGCGTTAAGATTTGCCTATGTCCTTCGCTCTGGATTATGGTGATTTTTAAAATTTGAATATAAAAATTGAAAGCAAAGATAGCAAGTAATACTCATTAGTACACTCAAACCAATTTAAAATTATTAGAAATTATGTGAGAACTGTCAAATAAGGCTGCTAAGCAAAACCCTAATCATGTAAATTTGAAAGTCCGGGCACAGGCAATGACAGGACTAATGCAAATGCTAAATGAACAACTTTTTTCTCTTTTCAAACAAATCCATGCTTTGGTCACCCACAGCATGGAAACAGCACTGTAACATAAATGTGCAACTCCAGTCTATGTTGAATTTACATCAATATAACCAAGCAAGAGCATGTGGCAACAATTTTCTTCTGAAAATTGAATTAACAGCAGCTTAAAATATTAATTTTTGTTTATCATTTCATGAACATCAGTCCTACAATACCGGTGTTGTAAGATATGGGAGTATCATAAATTAATCTTGGAGTATCTTGACAAAATGGATTTACGCATCTTATCAGATATTAACACATCTAATGTGTTTCACATGGATCTTCTAGCAACAGCCCTCACAAACAAATAACAATGCTGCCACTTCTTAATGTTTCCTAGCGAATCAAGGCACAAAAGGTGACTCAAATTTTGTGAATGGGTGTGATCTGCAAATTCCAAAATCTTTATCAGGCACTTCTGTTATTCACCAATACATCAGACCTATTACTTACTTTAGAGGCATCAAGAACCATCAAGACAAGATCTGATGATTTGGCAACTGCAATAACCTGAAAAATCAAGAAGCTTCTATTAGGGATCTTATCCTCGTTGCGGATATTCAGCTACACCAAGAATCAACTTTTAGTAGCAACTTTTGTTATAGGGGAAAAAAAAAAAGGTGTACCTGCCTACCACGCCCCTTTCCTTCAGAAGCACCTTCAATAATTCCAGGAAGATCCAGCAGTTGTATTTTAGTATCATTGTAGTGAATAATACCCGGGATACAGGTAAGTGTGGTGAATTCATACGAGGCAGCTTCTGAATGTGTTCCCGTCAACATAGTCAAAAGTGTTGATTTTCCAACACTGAGATGGAAATAATTGCAAATCTAAGTTTAAAACGGAAATAAGAAAACAAAACAATGAGTGACATTGATATTATACTTGGAAAAACAATCCCATTACTGACCAAGATTGACATGATAATATCAGAATGACCACCATAAAAATACAAAACGAAAGTGTCGCTCAACAATAGAGACCAGAACTATTAGGGTATTTATGTGTTATTAAATATTAAAACCAAGATAAGATTGAATGGTTCTAACAGAAGATCTACTTTCTCTTTTTTTTTTTCCTCTCCTAACATAGAAGTCCTAAAGCAATGACATGGCCAACCTGGGAAAACCAATCAGAGCAACACGTCCGTGGCCAAACTTTGTGACTTCAAAGCCATCCCCAGCTCCACTAGAACCCTGATACCTCACGAGATAATGATTAGAATACATCGTCGAAAGGGTTTGAGTAACCAAACCTGAAAACTAACTAGTTACACGACTCTATCTGAATGATTTCCATGCAAAACAATTCAGATTAGCTACTGATATCATTTATCAGCCAAAATAAGAAATAACATAATAAGAAGCATACTTTTGGGGGCTCCAACAGTTGTGTCCTCAGCTTTGCTATTTTAGCCTTGAGCTGACCCAAATGATACTCTGTGTATATCAAATCAAACAAAATGTCGGTACCATCCGGCATAAAACTTCAATACAGGATCAACATGAAAACTATCTTAGTTACTAAATCAGCACTCTGACTAGCTCCATCAACTGAAAGCTGATTAAAACCCAACCAAATCACGAATTCTATTATCATTGCATAATTATCAAACCCCAATTTCAAGTCTCATGTCCATTATTCCATATACCGCTATAATCTTCATAATCACCAATATGATTTACATCCCATCAACAGTTCAGACAGACAATACAAACATAACAACATAAAACTATCAAAAAAAGTTAAGAAAAAAAAAAGGTGGGGGGAAGAAGAAGAAATCAAAAGTCACCAGTGGCTTTATTTTTCTGAGTGCGGGCCATCTCCGCCTCGATTTCCTTAATCCTTTCGACGATCCCCATTGTCCTCAAATGTTCACCTGAACGAGACGAAAGACGAGCAAAGGGCTGCAAGCAAAAATCATACAAATCAGGGAAATTACATTACAGTTATATGCGGCAAAGACTGATAGAACTTTTACTTCGATTGATAGGCAGGCACGGACGAGCAGGGGATTGATTTAGCAATTTCTAGGGCTTTATAATTAGCCATAAATAATACTACCTCCTATTTTTAATATATGTCGTTTTGAGAAATTGCACACTAATTAATTAAGAATATTTTTTTTGTCAATAATAACCTTATTTAATGAAGATAGGGATGGATGTTTTGAGAAAGAATGAAGAGTGAATATGAAAAGACGTAATGTATTTATTGACTAAATAAGGGAATAATGAAAAAATATGTACAAAATATCCAAAATGACATTTATTTAGCAAATAGTTGAAAAGACTAGAATGACATTTAAAAAAAATAGGAGGGAGTAATAATAATCTGGATTTAATATAAATATTCAAGGGGTCGTTTAATTTGCAGGTTCAGATAAGATAAATAATCCAAACCAACTTTACATGTCAGCAATCAGTCTTTTGTTTACTTTCCATGCTGGGATTCACATAAATAAATCCTATATTTACTTCAAAGGATTAATTGACATGATACAGAGGCCAAAGATCAAATTACCCTCATGTACACAAAAATCGATTTCAGCCGTCTCCCCCAAACATTGCACTCACTTTCCAAATTGTTTAGCCCTAATTCGTCTGAAGGGCATCGCGACGACGGGAAGCGCCATCATTGCTCCTGACGAGAGGCCGCGATTTCTTGACTTCCACCGATGGCCGTAAACTAAGGGTAAGAGCTTTTCCGTAATTGTGTTCCCAAGTACTAGGTTTTATGGTTTTTCGACTCACTTTCGACTTTTGCCTTTTTCGTCAAATGGAAATTTCTTTGTTCTACGAACAATTTTTTGACAAATTGAGAAGCCGCGATTTCTTGACTTCCACCGTCGACGGCGTTCTTCCGAGATAGAGGGGCTTCACTTATACCGCACCGAGGGCCGTAAACTGTAAAAGCTTTTCCGTACTTCATTTTCCAAGTACTAGGTAATTTGTTGTTCTTCTCACTCTCGATTTTTGCCTTTTTTCGTCGAATGGAAAATTCTTTGTTCTCCGAACAATTGTTTGATTGAGTTTGATTTCACTCAGTTTGTGCCAAATTGGGAATGTTAAATTGTACTGTGTTGTCTATACTACACCATTTGGAGTTGTTTTGTGATGTTTAAATCACGGATGTACACAATTAAGGCCTAATTAGTCACGAATGTTTAAATAAAGCAAAAAAAACTTGTGCAGTTGGACCACTTGTGTCTAAATATGTGTTGATGTATAGAATATGTTTTTCAGTAATAGTTTCCTCACTCTTTTGTATCTCTGTTGGTGTTGGATGAGTTTGGGATATGCTTGTTGCTACTATTAGCTTCCTTTGAATTTTATGGTATGACCTTTTAAATTCGGTGTTATTTTTACAAACACTTACAACTTCATTGGATAATTTCTTAATGCTTCAAACCCACAGACCATTTTGTTATAACCTGTGGTGTGGTGTTGGCTTAATTAAGAATATGCATAAAGTTTCTATTTTCAAAAGGTGTGGTAAGTGTTTGAAGGGAAACGAGATTGGGGTGAATACTTGCGCATTTAGCAATGAGCATGCTTATGTGATTCTTGATCACTGCAACCACTACTTCCCTTGTTCAGTAAATGCAGGATGTGCACATAGTAGTATTATTGTAATACGAGGTTTACATATATGACATGTCATTTCAGCTTTTTAAGAATTTGATTACCATCAAAGGTTTATGTTATGTCCAAATTATAACATTGGTCTTGTATGGCAGTGGGGTGTTTTGCTAGGTCCTTGGTCGTTCAGTAGCAAAAGGGTCAGAAATTTTAACAATAATGCTTTATTACTATGAATTCTTTGAATGATTTCTTTGTTCAGTAGCAAAAGGGCACCAGGGCACTAATAGCCAGATGGTTTTTCTAATTTGTTAGAAACTGAAATGGTTCTTTTTTTAAACACATCTTGTTTTATGTTAATCTTCTTATCCTGATTGAAATGACCCGTACGTTATTAATTTTCACATTCTCAGCCAAGCAATATGTCAAATACTTCTCAAACGAGTTCAAGCAATCGATATAGTCGATCCTCTAGTAGTCCGTTTGAGGTTAGGCTATGTGATTGTTGTGACGCAGCCGATGTGTTCACATTAATGACGAGTGACAACCCAGCTCGAAGGTTCTGCAGATGTCCTCGCCGGAAGGTTAAATTTTTATCTCAATACCCTTTAAAGTTGTTTGTAGAATTATAAGAAGCATGCCAATGGCTATTTGTTTTACTAATGTGTGCAGTACAAATTTGGAAACTGCATTTACTGTGGTGGTATTTTGATTGAGTCTTGTTAGTATTTTTTATATGAGATGCAATTTTACCCCTGATTTATCGGTCATTGTTCTTGTGCATCTGTATTCGGGGGGCTTGAAAATTTTATTTGCCTTAATGTTGGTTATGCATTTTTTCAGGGTTATTTCAGTTTGAAAATGAGTAGTTTATTTTTAGGTGGTTAAACCACCTTTGTTGGTTGCATCCGGTTGTGTTGGTTATGTAGTGTTTTCTTTTCTAAACATGTATCTAACATGAAGTTTGGCCTCTGAATTATTTTGATTTTCATATAGTTCAATGATGCTGAAAAGGCTTGTAACCTGTTCGTATGGATTGATCCCGAGTTACTGCCGTTCCAAAAGGCTTGTTTTAACAAGCTTAAGGCTGAAAAGGACCGGTTGCAGGAGCAAATATTGTGCAAAAATGTAATGGAGAAATTGCTATCAGAGCGGCTGGACTTAAAATCTTCCGAGAAAAAAGCATTGGAAAATGAGAATAAAGTGATGGGCCTTAATTTGGAGATTGAAGCAACCAAAACTGTAAAACTGCAGGTGAGCCTTGATGATGCTGTCCGTAAAGTTGAGAGTTTGGAGAAAAAACTCAAATATATGAAATCTACACTTTGGTGCATGGTTTTCTTTGTTATTAGTCTTTTGTTTTTTAAGTAAGGTTAGGTAGAGTAAACTATGATGATGTTCTTAAACGGCCGTCCACTTATTTTGTGTGTAATAACAGATATTTTGCAAACCTACTTTGTACTGTTGTATTGTATTAATGATGGCTTACTATGCATTCGTCTTTTCAATTTAAAATGATTATATGATTGGTCAGAAGGGATGAAATTGGCCATTGATGGGTTGTTTACTTCATGGTCAAAAGTTTTATATTTTACACGACGTGCTAGGACAAAGCACGCCAGGTCTATAGTTAGGCTTAAGCTTTTCTTCCCCCGGGTTGTTAGCAGTGAAAGGACTTCACGAGCATGTGTGGGTGCACGCGTTTGCCACTTTAGTTGCTCAAAATATTGACAAAGTAAGAGACATGATATGACCAATCACTGCGTGCCTAAACTGATTAGAAATCACTTACTTGCCAACCATGATTTCTAGCTTTTGCAATGTGAAGCATTACTGATAACGAAGCATGATACCTCTCTATTTAAACGACACACTTAACACGGGAAATAATCCCGGCTAAGTAAAACGAACTATAATGATGTTCTTTGATTCAAGTCCACTTTGTACAGTTTTGTTTTGTGTTTTGACTGATCTTATGTATAACTACTTTGTACTTTTGAATTAATGACAGATTTGTATGCATAACTGTATTGCAATATCAGCTTTCAATTTAAATTAAATACATGCATTGTTGGTCAAGCGGGCTGAATTGCCCATTACCTGATATGACGTTAAGTGACAACTCACTGCAAGTGTATAGGTAGGCTTATGCTTTTTCAGGTTTAGCTTTTCTTTAAAGCTGAGGTTGATTGGACTAAAGTGCTTCACGACTATATGGCATGATATGACCAATCGTTACAGGTGTACAAGTAGGTATCAGTCTTTTTGTTGCAAAGTTGAACTGATTAGAATTCACTGCACGTCTGAATTGATTAGACATCACTTACTTTGCCATGTGCGTCATTACGCATACCGAATGTTGACACCTCCTTATTTAAACCACACAATTCATAACAAAGAAATCCACAAACGTAAAAAGGAAGTAAACCACAAATATATGCTATTGTTACTAAAGTCGATGGCTCATGATTTTGGTGTAGTGCAGGCCGACTATCTGTACGACCTACATTGGACACCAAAGTTTGATGAGTTTCTAATCGACTATTTACTTGAAAATAAGTTGTGTGGTATATTAGTTCCTTTTGCAGATAATAGTGAGTCTATACTTGGTGCTACAAACGCATTCAATGCTTGGATTTCCAAGAGTTTCACGGTAGAGTACATCGGTACCCGCGTTGGAATGTATGCCAAACGACATGATATCTTCACAGCGCTAAAAGACAAGGATGGTGTTAAATACGACGTCGAGCATAACAAGTACCATGCTTCGGACAAAACTTGGTATTAATTGTTTAATGTGAGTTTCTCACTGATTTACATTTCCTTTCATACACCAAGAAACGATGGATGTACAAACTAAATTAATTTTTTTTATTACATAGTGGGATGATTTTGCCATCGCGTACATGAAAGAAAGTGATCCACTGCATAACAAAATTGTCGAGTTGTTTCACGTGGAGCCACCATACATATCTCCATTCGAGTGGTGTTATATTTCTGACAGCGACACCGAAGACAATAAGAAAAAATGTAAGGTATGTGGCAAAGATGTTGAAGTTATAAATGTTGAGAACTATACTCCTCAGCGTGTGCCACCTAGTAGGTTAGTGCCCTACCCTGTTCGAACGGACATCCCCCATAAAAAACAACCACCACGTCTCAAACCAGGTCTAATGATGGCTCCGTGAATCAGCCCAGAAACGACAACTCCACTCACGGTGCACATGAGCCAAAAGAAAATTCTACATCCACTGCATGTTCTGTCACTCCTATGGATTACATGCATAATTGGCCATGGAATTAGCCTCGTCACTACATCCTCCTCTTCTATGTTTGTTCTTGTTTCAGTTGTGTCTCAGTATGTTAGTTGTTGTTGGAAGTTTGTTTAATTTTTATTTACTATTATGTTTGTTATTAACTATTATGTTTCTTTTATGGTTACTGCATCTTTCTTTTGCATGTTCTGTATTTGTTCCACCGCGTCTGTTAGGACCTATGCGTAGCATCTTTAAGGCGTAGGCAGTTGTGTTTGTATTATGTATTAGGCAAGGTGTTATGTATTAGGCATGGTCTTCTGTATGGTTATGAAGGATTTGAAGGCGTAATCTACGTTTCTTGTCTTATGTACCATTTATGGGTTACGTACCATGTTTAATTAATACACATGTTATGTTAGAATGAAAAATATGTCATTATAGCCATATTATAAAAGTTACCAGTTAAAACACAAATAAAACATAAAAAATGTCTTAATAAACCTAGAATTTGCTAACACCCAACGTCTTACATAAGTTCACACCAAATACTAATATTCACTACCGAAAAAGTGTTCAAAAGTTTGCCGTTCAAATACATGCTACACACAAATTTTTACCACTCTAAATCAAGGATACCTAAACGCAATCAATGTAAAGACCCACTCCGAATCCTCCACAACGCCATTTTCTTCAAAGAAATGGCGCATATCGCCATCTTTCAACCGCCTCTTACCATGAGATCGATCTATATGCATCGAATATGTATCCCCCTTGAACATAAGCACTGCACGGTCTATCTCTGGAACCTTTCCTTCAACATGTGCGTTCCAAAAT